ATGAACATTAAATGTAAAGCTATAGGATGGGGGCTATGCTACCTGGCTCCAGGATTACTTAATACCCAAAATATAATTTACAAATCACAATAGTTGTTCCAGTGCATCTTGTTCTGGTCCCATTGTTAATTTTTTTAAAAACATAACTCAAGATGGTGAACATATCTAATACTCCTCCCTCCTATTTTCCCCACAAAAAACACCCTATGAGGTGGAGTAGGCTCAGAGAGAATGACTGGAGTTTCTAGACTGATGCCTCAATAATGTCTTAGTGATGCCAGTAGACCAAAGAAACTGCAGCAGAACGAAACAAACATAGAAACTGACTCTTTTCAAAAAGAGATTCAATGGGCCAAGCTGATTCAAATCTGACAGGCAATCACACAGAAGGTTATGACATGGAAGAGAAGGAATTGAAACTGTAGGAAAGCAGATTGTAATGAATTGTAGAAAAAACTTTCTAATAGTAAAAGCAATTTGATGGCAGAACCTGTTACTAGAAGAGATTTCCCTTGGATGTTTCAATTGGAATTCTTATACTGAAAGGGTGGGGTAGATGCAGAGCCTTTCAACAAAAATAGGTGGCTTTATGCATTTATCAATAGTTCATAGAAAGAAGAGGTCATCTCTTCTAGTTTAAGAGAAGGTAATGCATTACTACAATTGTTTATGTCTGTGATACACACACGCACACACATATAATCTTACATTTCTTGTTCTTTACTATATACTATATTCTAAGATACATATATCTTCATTTGATTTACCTTATTTTTATTCTTTCTTTTCTGTACTTTTTACTTTTATTCTTTTCTAATTTGCATTAGTTTTTATTAAATATTACAATTAAAGTTGCTATTAAAAAGGTATTTTTCTACTTAAATTTAGAGCTGTATGCAGGTTTGTGTTTTCATTTTTCAATTTCAATTTTCATTTTATTTGGTTTTGCTGAACTTTGTATTGCAAAGTTCAAATACTGTGAAATATCACAAAGTATTAACAAAAATGGCATCTAATTATTATTTGTATTAATCTTTGTGACTATCTTTTTTAACTATCTTTTGCTCTTATAAGCTGCCCAGAATTGCTTAAGAGTTGCAGTCATGTAAATCTTTTAAATTAAAGACACTGTGTTGCATTTTTCCACAAAAGATTCAGTTACCAAGGCAATACATGCAAAAGCTGACTCTACTGGGCTTTTTTTTCCCCATAAAGGGCAACTCCTATGCATAAGAATGCTTTCTCTGTTAGAAAGATGTAATATGGAAGGCATAGAAACTTACATTGAAAAACAAGTTTTACAACTTTGAAAATTTAAAAGTAAGGCATAATTTGTTGTTCCTTTCCTGAATAGCCAGAAATATAACCCCACCAGCCCACCCTTTACAGGTTCAGTTTCTATTGGGACACAGAAAAAATACTGGATACTTCTACTGCCTTCATGATAACCTACAACAATATGAGCAATTTAAGCACAAAGCAAAATAAATAAATAACCCAAAAGCAAGTTTAACATTTACCAATATTCAACAATCAAACAACTAATTTGCAGGCCACCACCAGACTTCATTTATTCTTTACTTCCCTGCTTATTATGAATTTCAGCCTGCTTTCTGGTTCAAAGGACCCGAACACAAATATCAATTTGTGATAGGCAACTGCCTATTTTCAGGTTAGTGTGCTTTTGTTTTGTTTATAGGTAATGGATCTCCATGACAAAATAAATGTTGCACTCCACAGGTCTTTGGTCTGATCCAAGTAGATAAGGTTATTTCTAATTACATTTGACCTTCTAATCCGCTTCTCAATTCCTATTGCTTAATTTTCCCCCCATCTAATGCTTTGTGTGAAACATTCCCTCAGCAAATTGGCTTTGCCATTTCTCCCAGACCAACCACGTTGCTTTGCTATTTACATGTGTGCTCCTTTTTCAGTCCATTTATAGGGAGGCATTAAAAACAAGCCAAGACTTTACTGCCAAAGCGCACATAGCTTTCATGCTGTTTGAGTCTCTCTGGGATTTTTTTTTTTATAAATAAACATTCCTAGACTAACATGGACTCTGGCCTACTTCACCGATTTGTGTTAACTCAAAGAAAAAGTTCAGGTTTCCACACTGGAGATCAAACGGTTTGCATAATCTGTCTTCTCATATTACACAACAAATCCTATCATTCATAAACAAATGAAGGTGGTTTATTGGAATATAAGCAGCAAACAATCTACTGTCTCATCAACACAACAAGCTATGACTTTGTGGGTAACTAACACACCCAGCTGACTCATTTAGCACATGCAGGCACACACCTGCCCCAAAGCATTCATAATCCAAAGTAACTGCTCACAGGAAGACAAGAGATAATTGGGATCTGCTGACTCATTCCAGGGAGGCTTTAGAATCAGTAGCATAGATGCTAAACTGGGATCACTGAAATAGGGCATACTGGTGCTAGAAAATCTGAAAATGAGCCATCTCCATTACCTGTTGCTCCAGGAAGGGTGCTAATTGTATTACGATTATATTAACATGAGATTGTATGTTATACTGGGTCAATAAGACCATGTACTAGTTTGGTTTAACTATTTTGTTTTCATTTTTCCAAAGATGGTGTACTAATCTAAACTCAATTTATTAAAATATCATGTTTTATGGTTGAAATACTGGATTAGGACTAGGAAAACCCAAATTCAATGCCTCCCACAGGATTAGAAGCTCCAGGTAACTTTGGGCCAGTCAGATTAATCTATTTTATGTGGGCTTCAGTGAAAAGATAAAATAAGAGTCTACATATACTAACTTAGCTCCTAGAGGAAAGGCAGGACATAAATTTAATAAACAATTTTCTATCTGCAGATTACAATTACATTCCACTTAAAAAAAAGGGACTGACCCTAATGTCAAGCACACCTTTTCTCCTCCATTCTTTATTTTTTTTTAACTAATGTGCTTTAAAATTTAAATTTTGCAACCTTTGTATTAGCCTATTAAAGAAATTGCCTTAAGATGAATTTTCAGTTCATAATGTGTTACCTAGAGAACTGAACCCTAAGAAACATTTACCTTCTAGATAGCAGCATAGTTTCAAACAACTGAAGCCATCAGATTTTCGTTTCAAGAGTCCCTCACCCCATATGACTGTTTGAAGCAATATTTGGCATAAGGGTTCTGTAGAACAATTATTAGATTTACCTTCAGATGCAACAGCCTAGTAAATTCCATGGCATATCCTACATATGTAGACTTTAGAATTCTAACCTTTTCAGATAACTGTTCACAGAACTACAGCAATAGCAGAGGTGCCCCAAACAATTATCACAGGAAAAAAGCACCATTATATTTCATAAAGGAAATCTTAATTGTCACAGTCTCACATTGAAATCATTCTTCATTCCAAAACATTTGTATTTTGAAATATCAACCTTCACGCTATTTGACTTCCACTCTTCCATTATCTGAATAGAGATAAGAATTACAGGTAACAATGGAATTCTCCAAGATCCACTCACAAAAATCTTGAAATCTGCAGTGACTCCTAGCTTGCAGAAGACGTTTAACCATAGTTAAATTACTCAATTTTCTGGCTTTCTGGCCTCACTGGTCTTTAATTATCTGGGCTGGGTTCATATAAGTCAGTACTGTAAACTCAAATGCATATTTCAGTGAGTTGTGCAAACACATTTGAGAAACAAGAAATACACCATCCAGAAAGTACTTACCCTGAAGATCATTTAATATACTATCTGAAGATAGGGTTCTTATACTGCAAGGATCATCTAAAGAGAAGGCTCCTTTAAAACTATTACAGGAATGGATGGGAGAGTCAAAATAATTGGCTCAGCCATGTGACGGCTTCTATCTGACCTTGGCAGATTCTGAAATATCTGAAATACCTAAACCGATGACTCTTGTTTAGTCTTTTGATAGATAGGCAATACGCAAGAAAGTAAATAGGGCTCTGGATTAGACCCAGATTAAAAATCTCCAGAAAGCAATGGTTACTGAGTGCGACGAACATTGCATGGATGTATCCAGAAGGTCACCTCTCTTTAAAAAAGCCTTTCTCCTTTTACGTCCATTACACTTCTTTTCTATGTTATCCGTTGGATCTTAGAACAGAATAGCCACAAAATGAAAGCAGAGCTTAGAACGGTTTTTGGAGAGAGAGAAAAAATACCCCTCGGCAAAACTTACCAGCACCTGGAAAGAGAATTCACATGCTTATATATCTTATGCTACCCAAGAGATGCCCACTTCTCCACATCCCTTGTGACATTTCCCTCACCCCACTCCTCCATTTGCGGAAGGCCTTCCTCCCTCGAGCATTTAAAGACCGAGCCCAGCGTTCTGCCGTGTACAGCAAGGCCTTTCGGCCGGAGGTCACTCTTACCCATCCGAAGCCATTTATCTGAAAGAAAGCAGCATATCCTCACCGCCTTCCCTGCAATTCAGTGGGAAAGCGCTTGCCGGAAGCACGCAGGTCAGCGTTGCATAAAGCCCGTCTTGCATTGGTTCGACCGCTAAGGCCGACCTCGCTCGCGTTCCCCATTTCCTCCCTTCCCCCCTCCCCAGTTTTTGAGCAAAACCAGCCAATGGACGGAGCCTGGGGCGGAGGTGGGGGGGGGGGTGGAAATCCCCGCGGAAAGCGATGCCCAATGCTTTGGATCCTATGCAAAACTGTTAAGATGGCCTTCTAAGTCAACGACCAAGACAGCGCACAAGGGCAGCAACGGTAACCACCCCACGAAAGATGCGCATTAAGCCCCCTACAAAAAGGAATTTACCCTATTCGCGATGAACCTACCAAGAGGGAAAAAAAAGGCTACGCCTGCGCAGACGTCCCGGCCTGTTACCTACCCATTCTCTCCTCCCCGGGCGAAGCGAGGCGCATGCGCACTGCCGCCAATTGAACGGACGGCGGGGGAAGGCCCGGGGGGATCTCAGAGGCCAATCCGTGACGAGGGGGGGCGTGGCGTGTGTCAGTCGGGAGGGAGGGCGGGGCTCCGTCGCCTTCCGTGAAACGGTGCCGGAGCCATTCGAGGCCCGGCGGGGCGAGGAGCCGGAGCGCGAGCGGGGTGGGCGGGACGGGCCGAGGCCCGCGGCGGCTGGTGTTCGCTCTGGGGAGGGCGGCGGCAGGATCCAAGGCCCGGCCCTCCGAGAAACAACATGGTGTCGTGCATCATTTCCCGGGTCGTCGTGTAAGTAAGCGGGGGGGGGGGGGGGGGGAGAGGGGGGGCCGGGATGGCAGCGGCCGCTGGGAGCCGATCGCGAGGGGAAGGAAGGAAGGAAGGACGGACGAGCCTCTTCTTCGCGGGCCCTTCCCGCTGGAGCCTCTCGCCAGCGTGGCTCGTGGGGCGCATTCCCGGGAAAGTGAGGGAGCCGGCGGCTACTCCCAAGCATCCCTTCCTGGGCGAGGACCCCCGCCGGTTGGTGGCAAGGATGTCCCGGGGCCCCTGCTTGGGTGCTGCTCCCGGAGGCGCCTGGAAGCGGTGCCTCTTCCGCCGGGCCCGTTGGGGGGGGGGGGGAAAGGCCCGCGAGGCCCCATTGGTGGATGGAGGCAAAGCGGGAGGGGGCACTTGCATGCTTCTCTTCTTAGCCACGGTGCACAAGGGGGCCTGCCGTTGCCTCCCCCCCCCCCTTTTGGGGCGGGCGGGGGGCTTGACCAGTCTACCCAGTTTGGCATAATGTTTAAGGTATTGGAGCCAGCTGAGTGCGCTTGGGACTCTCTCTCAGCCCAGCCGACCAGAAAGAGGCCAGAATACTTCTTCACCGACCTTGAATTATACAAAATAAAGCAAGATATATATATATATAGTAATATTCTACACCTGTGGGATTTCCTGGTGGCTCCCCATCCAAGCATTAATCAGGGCCAGCCTCATTTAGTTTTCTGAGATGATCCAAAGTCAGCTGTTGTCATTGTTGTGGAGTCCTTGGTGTTTGTTTTCACAGTTTGTTTGCACACATTTCATTCCCAGCTTGGGTGACACCATCAGTACTCACTGATTAATTCGTACTGATATTGACCAATCGGATAATGAAACATCTCCAAACAGTCAAGCTCAGAGAACGTCAAGAACTCTACCGTTCAATCCTGAACTACATACTTTTTTTTCCTGTCGGTTGTCATTCTTCCTTTTGCTTTAAACTAACTCTATGTTTTTATAGACGCTTGCTGCAATTAGCTGATAGGGGACACTCAATTATGGGCAACTTGATGTTGAGACCAAGCCTGCACAACAGGTAGAAGGGAAGGGGCTATGTTGATAAGTGGAAGATAATTGTTGGCTGCAAAGGAATACCCAGGGGACACAGTGACCAGCTCATTGCTGGTTAGCATTAACAGGGGCAGTGCTGGATCTGGCAGTGGATGATGAGGTTTGGAGCTGCTCAGGAGCACATCTTTAGGAGGATGATAAATTTATTACTTTAAAAAAAAATGGTGAGCCATACAAGCCTCCTGGGGTGGAGAGGTGTCCCATACTATGCAGGCCTGGTCTATATGTATCGTTGAAAGAGGATTTTAGTCTGTGCTAGTGAGATGTGAAAGTAAGATAAGTTTGAATTCATGATGTTGCAGTAATTAATACACATTTAGATCTTCAGATTTATGAAAACTCTTTGTTAGCATAATGATAGAGATGTTAAGCAATTGGCAATAATGCATCTTAACCCTTTGGGCCCCCAATGTTTCTTCCTATCCTCTTAACTTTTATATACTTTTCAAGTAATAGTAAATAGTAATTATGTATTGCTATTTCCTAATGAATCTTACAATATCTGAAGTAATGATAGGACAGATTCTAGAAGTGATGCTATTATGGTACTTAAAGCAATAGAAGAAATTGAAGCCCTGTACAAATTAAATAGTGGCTTTAATTCTTGGTAATGGATTTGGACATTAAAACTGTCATCACGTAAATGGAAAAAACTGTAGTCGTACATGGTCTAGCAACCTTGGCACTCTGATTGGCTATGGCATTTATTCTGTGCTGGTTACAGAGAACCGACATCTTGTACAATGTTTGTGTTCTTATGTGCACAATTTTTACACTGCAGCAGCAGCACCAAAAAGAATCCTTTAAAAAAAACAAAACTTCAGATTTTATTTTATATTAATCACAAAGATTATGTGATTCATGTGAAAGGAACTTACACTTAAAGTGAAGAAGCTTCCTCTGTTATAATCAAGGCATTTTGAGCCTTGAAATTATATGAGCAAGTAATTAAGTGATAAGTTCCTGTTTCTTGGAAACATATACTGAAGTAATGCATGTTCCAGACATTGAAAATTTTGCAGTGATGAATCCAGGGTGGAAATTCTTGAGCAATCCAAAGCTAATAGTGTTATAATTTTAAAAGGCTTTGGAATTGGCACCATTGTAAACCCTGATATGCTTGAAACATTTCAAAATAAATAAATACATTCTCATGAAACCGATATTTAGTTGTATGATAATCTTTTCTCCAAAGATATATTTGAAGAAAAAAGAGTAGAACACCGCTATCAAGCTAGAGTCAAAATCTGTATAAAGGAAGAGAGTTGACCCCCGGCCAAAAGGATGTAAAACCAGACATGAATCTATAGGCAAGGGACAACTAAGATATGGAAATAGTATGGCATTTGGGACAACTTGTGCCAGATTGGCAAATAGCCATATTCTGGCTTCTGTGAAAAGATGGAGACTGGCTAAAGAATCAATTAGAGAACAAAGCCAAAATTGGATATCGAAATAGCCATTTGGAAGAAATAATTTACTAAGGAAAATTGTTCTAATGAACCATGAATAGGTTCCGTTTATTTCGGTAAATGCTGATTATGTACTATACCTCATGTGTTCTTGGAAAATCAAGGGATGCTATTAATAATAGAAAGTTAAAAGATACTGCTGAAAAATGTGATTGCTAAGATTATTTAGTTGCAGATATTCAGAAATCCCTATTCAGGAGATGTAATGTATTTCCAAAGTGTTTATTTTGTATTCCCATGGAGTAGCACTAAGATAATATAAAGTACAGGTATCAGCATCTTTCTTATGCTTACCTATGGAATACTCATCTGAAGATTTTATATGTACTACTTTACTTTTAGTGGGATTCTTTTTCAGATGTTCAGAATTAGATGATGTAACCCAAGTATTTGCTTTGTTAAGGTTCATGCAAAATTCTGGGCTGCATCAATCACACTTGGTAGATAATCTTTCCCTCTGAAATTATAAAGGGTAGTAAGCCTTTGTATGTAAACTGTACAATGTCTACTTTCATGAATTTACAAATGGAAAAAGATCTATTCATAGCTGTCCTGTATACAAATCACACTGGCCTTATTTAATTAAGCCACAGACACAATTCTAATGGATAGAATGATCCGTTTCTACATCCTGTTAATAGTAAAAAAAAAGTTTAAGAGATTTTTTAAAGTGAGATGTTTTGAACTGAATCCATTAAATTATAAGTAGAAATACAATTGGAAGATACAATAAAATATTGAATTCCATTATATGCTGAAATTGAGGCTGGTTGTGTGTGGAGGGAGAACCTCTTTGTTACGTAATGTTTGCAGTTCATTTGTTTTTATTGTGCAATTGCAGCATTCAATGTTAAAAACATTTACATCTTTTTTCTCACAATGAGTTCTAATACAACAATAAAGAATTAAAGATTAATTATTCAGATATTGAAGGTTGAACTGTTAGAATCAAGATCAACATATTTTCATTATCTCAATCACTCTGTAGAAATAAATATGCAGACATATTCTCTTTTCGGTGATTGATATGCAGCAGCCACCAAAATATTTGCATTTGACCTGTGGTCATAATTTCTGCAATCCTGAAGACAGATTATTGTATTTTTCTCTTGTGAGTTCTGTAACTTTTTCCATCTGCTTACCCATTAATCATAAAAAGTCTATGATTTCAATTGTATATGTGACTTCAAAATTTTCTATATTATTGTATACAAAACCTAGTCCAAAATGTTCTGATTCTTAAATATCCACTAAATATGGTAAAATTGTTGGTTACCTTTGAAGAATTTTTATACATTGTAACCAATTTTTCCATTGACATTACCAATGATACATCATAGTATAAACATTCTCTTTATAATTGTAACACACCGGTAGTCCTTGACCTACAAGCATAAAGAGCCAGTCCATTACTCAGCAAGCGATGACTTTAGAGGAGTCCTAGCTAGATCCTGAAAGCAGTCAAACGGTAAAAATGTTTCTAAGGAGCAGGTTGCTCCGTGCAGCTGAGCTTTTTGAGCCAAATTTTTCTTCAGCCCCTCAACACACGCTGCAAAAAGATTCTTTGGTTTCTTCCTTTATTCCAGGAGTCCCCAATCCTCAGGCTGCAGCCCACTACTGGGCTGCAGCCTGTTAGACACCGGTCCACGTGAGTGATTGGCAAGCACATGCACGAAACTTCACTGGCGCAAGCAGAGGGTGCTTGAGCAGATGGGTGGGTGTTTGTGCTCTGTTCAAGCACCCTCCGCTCACACAAGTGGAGCATCAGTTGAGTGGAGCCAGCGCCTGTCAGTTACGCACAAAGTTCCATTCATGTGAATGGAGGGCGCGCATGCCCACGGCTCACACCGACGGAGCTATACATGCATGTGTGCACCTGCCACTTGCACCATCATTCCTTGTGCTGGGCCGGGCCTGACCATCAAAGTAGAAAGGTTGAGGACTGCTGCTGTCACTCGTCAAGGCATGCAGTAAATTATGCAAATGCGGTTTTAGAAAGGGATTGGGGTTGGAGGATAGCGGTGGAGAGAGTTTAATTTCAGCATCTAATAGAGAATTAACAAGCCTTATCTCCCCCCCCCCATTCCAAGCCTTTTTTTTCTTTTTTCTTTATTGAAGAAATGGGGGGTTCTGGAGAAGGGAGGGGTTTAAGCAAGGAAAAGATTTTGAGAGGTTCCTCCTGAAGTTGCCGCCTTTGCACGTAGGTAGTTGGCTTCTCCAAAACCTAGAAAGAGCTAGTCGTTGTTCGTAGTCCACCCATGGCAAGCTGGTCTAGTCAGAAAGCTCCCAAAGCAGCCGTCCTTTCTGCAAGATATTATTGGAGCACCGAAAATGGTAGCTGCTTCCAGGAGGCATGGGGAGCAGGCCCAAGCCCTGAGGGGTCCCAGCAGTTGGGGATGGGGGAGAAATGTGAAAGGGCTGTTGCGGCATCCTTGTGGTCGGTTGTAA